AGGGCGGGCGGGAGAGAGGGAGAGCACGAAAGCAGCGCCAGGAGCAGCGGCAGCAGCAGGGCCGGTCACCCTCGCCCCCTCCCTGCTCCTGTGCACGCCAGTGCAAGCCATGTCCTATCCTCAGGGTTACCTCTACCAGCCCCCCGGCTCGCTGGCTCTGTACTCCTGCCCGGCGTACGGGGCGTCTGCGCTGGCGGCCCCCAGGAGCGAGGAGCTGGCCAGGTCTTCGTCGGGATCGGCGTTCAGCCCTTACCCGGGATCGGCAGCTTTCACCGCCCAGGCGGCGGCCACAGGCTTCACCAGCCCGCTCCAGTACTCCACAGACCCCGCCACGGGATTCCCCTCCTATATGGTAACTACCGAAGAAAAACCCTCTCCTTCTTCATTAGCATCCGCATTCTCATCCTCATCATCTTCAGCCTTTCTCCTCACACACTCGCCATCAGCCCCCGACACCACGCAGCACAAGCGGGCTCCCCGCACAGCCGCCGCCTCCGCGCTGCCGGCGCCGGCCGCGCATCGCTCCGCGCCGCCTGCAGCCCGGCCGGGGATGAGCGCAACGGAGCGGAGGCGAGCGGAGCGGCGGGCCGGGGCCGGGGCCGGGGCCGGGGCCGGGGCCGGGGCTGGAGCGGGGCGCCGCTTCGCGTCCCAGCCAAGCGCGGTGCCGGCCTGGGTCCCGGGCTCTCCGCGCGGTTTGAGGAGCCGGGAGGGCGCTTTGGTTAAGGAAACCCGGATGGTCTCAGCCAGCTGGGTTGGGTTGGATGCTTCCATTCTCCCCCCGTTCCCGTGTCTGTGTGTCCCAGGCTTGCTTCTTTTTTATGGACAGTTTTCCCTTGCTTTCTTTTCAGTATTTTTTTTTTTTTTAAATATGTATTTTTTTTCTTTTCGCAGTGATAGCACAAGGGAGGGTTTCCTTTTTCTTCTTCTTCTATTTTTATTTTCCCCTAATTTTTCTTCTCTCTCTCTTTTAAGTCGATGTTTAGAGGCTCTGGGGGCTTTATCCCCGTGTGGTTTTATTTACTTTCAGTGTGTTTTGTGCTAATGGTTTAACTGGATTTTGGGAATGAAAAGGAGCATCTGTTTGCGATCTGTGAGCTTCGCTTAAGCCCAAAATGGTCGTAGTGGCCGCAGTTTCGGATTTCACTTTCTTCTTATTAGTTTAAGGAGCTGTTGCAATTGCGTGTTGTGTGTGTTCTGTGCATAAAGTATATAAATACAACCATAAACTATATAAATAAACTGCACGTCTAGATGGTTATATAGTTTTATAAACACGCATGCACTCAGAGAGTCAGACATATATCTAGTCCGTACACACAAAGACCTGTGCTCTGAATTTGAGACTAGAGCCGCTGTCGATATCCTAGGAGAGGATGGCAGCGGGGTAGTTCTCTCTCCCTGCAAAGTGACAGGGAAACTACTTGCTTTCCGTCTGTTCATAATACAGTGCATAAATTGTCGTGCAGTCTTTATTCGAGGTGGTATAAAAGATCTGAGGGTCTCTCTTGTTTTTCCTGTTGAGAAGCAGTAGGCGAGTGGCTGGAAGTTGCAGCGAGGTTGTGAACTGTGCGGGATATTGGGCGATGTTGAGCCTATGACTCTCCGATCTGCGGGGTACACAGACGTGCTGAAAGTTAGCGAGTTTCTTAGGGATATCTTTAACTTTTCTTGCATTATGCAGACTTAAATAAGCGCAATTTAAACGTTAAAGAGCGAATTAAAATGCTAATTACATCGCATTTGAACAATTCGAAACGGTGCATATCTTCTGATTTGCAAATTGGATTTGCAATGCATTAGTGCAGTGAATTGCTAAGTGGCGGCTTTGTTGTATTTTCTATAGCAAAAAAGGAAACATCTTTTGAACCTTTGAGAGAAATGTTGATATCAAGACACTACCTGTAGGGCCTTTAAAACGTCTGCGCTGTTCAAAAATTATATTGGGAAATATTCAATTACAAGGAGCTGAAATTAGTCAGAAAGATTAAAACATCGCCGATTTTAAGCGCGTGTGCCTGTGTCTGTGTGCTGGGCGGAGGAAGGAAGGGGGGAATTGTAACTTAATGGCCTTTGGGTGCTGCTACTCCCCCTCATAGAATATGGATACAAGACACCATCCCGGGGAAATACAAATATAACCGCCGATCTCGCCTTGACAACTCACTAATGGCCATCAGCAATAACAAATTGCCAACCCCACCGTTTTGTTCTGTCCAGGGCTCCCCTTACGACGCCCATACGACGGGGATGACCGGAGCCATCAGCTACCACCCGTACGGCAGCCCTGCCTACCCCTACCAGCTCAACGACCCCGCGTACAGGAAAAACGCCACCCGCGACGCCACGGCCACGCTGAAGGCCTGGCTGCAGGAGCACCGCAAGAACCCCTACCCCACCAAGGGCGAGAAGATCATGCTGGCCATCATCACCAAGATGACCCTCACCCAGGTCTCCACCTGGTTCGCCAACGCCCGCCGGCGGCTCAAGAAGGAGAACAAGATGACCTGGGCCCCGCGGAACAAGAGCGAGGACGAGGACGACGACGAAGGCGATGGAGCGAGGAGTAAGGAGGAGAGTCCCGAGAAGATGCCCGAGAGCAACGAAACCTCCGCGGAGGACGAAGGTAGGCGTGGGGTGCCTGCGGCCCCGGCGGGGTGGCTCCATCCCGTCCCGTCGAGTCCCCCGGGACCGGGGCAGCGGGGTAGGAGCGGGGGTGCGGCATTTAACAAAAGCGACCCCCAAACCTGTCCCGTCCCGTCGCCTCCGGCTGCTCCGGTCACTTGCGCCTATCAGTGCCGAGGCGGGCGGGAGGCTGCTGGCGACACCGCGAGGGGCTAGGCGGGGAGGTGCGGGGGGCGCAGTGGAGGAGCCGGCCCGTGGGGATGGATGCTCCTCGGAGCGGGAAAAGACCGGGATGGCTTGAGCCTGCCTGGCCGCAGCGGTGGCGCGGTGGTGGCTGGGCTCGCTTCTGTCCCGGTCTGTTTTGCCGCCCCTCCTCACTGCCTCTCTGTGCCCGGCGGGCCTCCGCAGGGATCAGCTTGCAAGTCGACTCGCTGACGGACCACTCCTGCTCCGCCGAATCGGACGGCGAGAAGCTGCCCTGCCGAGCGGGAGACCCCCTGTGCGAGTCGGGCTCGGAGTGCAAAGACAAGTACGAGGACATCGAGGAGGAGGAAGAGGACGAGGACGACGACGAGGAGGAGGACATCGAGGAGGATGACGGCGGCGGCGGGGAGCGCGACCCGCCGGCCAAGCCCGCCACCTCCTCGCCGCTGGCGGCCGTGGAGGCCCCGCTCCTCGGCCACCCGCACGCCGACGCCGCCCGCAGCGCTAGCAAGGCAGCTCTGGGGCCCCGCGCTTCCCCCGGCCCCCCGACGCCGGCCAGCAAGCCCAAGCTCTGGTCTCTGGCCGAAATCGCAACCTCGGACCTCAAGAGTCAGACCCTGGGCCAAGGCTGCCAGCCTGCGCCGCTCTCCTCGGCCACCCCCGCCTCCGCCCCGCACAGCGCTGCCTACTCGCCCTCCTCCCTCCTGGGGAGGCATATTTATTACACCTCACCTTTTTATAGCAACTATACAAACTATGGGAACTTTAACGCTCTGCAGAGCCAGGGAATCCTGAGATACAACTCCGCAGCAGTGGCTTCAAACGAGGGACTAAGTCAGACTGTCCTAAATGCCAGCTCTGTCCACAAACAGAGCAGTGACTCTTTGAAAACGATCACTAACCAGCTAGAACAACATTACAGGCCCTCTAGCTATGACTCTAAGAAAGGTAGGTGACTTGTTTCTGCCGCTTTCTTCCCTCTTCTCCCTCGTCCTTCTTCCCCGACCCGTAGACGTCCCCTACGCGCTGTAAATACTGAAAACTTCTCTGGAAAATATAGCGAGCTCGGTGCCACCGCTGCCAGAGCGAAGATGGGCACTCAAATAACCTGGGGATTAAAACCGGCGTGTCGCCGTCGTATCGGTACCTGTCCCTAAGAACCGCGAAAGGAAACGCGAAAGACGACTTTTAGATCAGTCTCACAGGCTGCAGATGAAGCTTTGAAAAGTAGTTTTTTAAAAAAAGGAAAACTACACACAAAGCTATCCAGAGAGCACTGGTGTCATTGCCTCTAATTTTTTTTTTTCCTGACAAACTGGTTTGACTCTCTTTGTTTCCAGTATTCTCACGGGGGTTTTTTTCAGCTTTGGGTTCAGATAATTGCTGACCTTGGACGTGAAATTATGTGGAGCGTGACATTTTTTGTAACTGGTTGCTTCTTGGTTTGTTTGGGTTTTGGGGCTTTTTTTTTTTTTTTTTTTTTTTTTCGAAAAAGTTTTGCAGTGATATGGTAGGCATCTTATTCTACAAAATTATTCGAGATACAGGCAAATATAAAATATTGGCTAGACTTTTAAACGACCCAGCTACGAATTGTGCACCAGTGAGGGTTGGGACCTACACAGACTGTATAATCTAGTTAGCTGGCTGTGTCCTGTGACTAACTGGCGGTTATATTTTGACAGATCCCACTGAAGTCTGCACAGTAGGAGTACAACCATACCTATAGAAGTGCAATCACACAGCAATGCAAGTAAGTGAGAACATTTTCTATTACACTGATCATTTGGCATCGGGTCTGAGACGTGCTGCACAGTTCTAGACTCGCTTAACATTAATTTCTTGCTTCATTACTTGAGAGTTTGGTCACAAAGTAAAGCATTATTTTTTTCTGCTGTTTCCAGAAACCTCTTATGATTACTTTTATTTATTGGGTTTGCCTTAATTTTCAAGCCAGGTTAGACAGTTCCCTCACTTTGCATACTCTTCTTCGCTTGTGTAAGGCACAGACTTAGGGACTGCTTAAAAGTTACAGAAAGAAATCTTCATGAGAGAAAAAAACCCCAAACTTTGAAAGTACTGTTATTTAAAAACAGGGCGCTTGTGCTCACGTGGTAGTGCTAAAATTGAGTGGGGGCTTCATGCAGTGACTGCGTATTTAAAATAAAAAGGGACAACTGTAAGAAACCGACGTGAGTCTTAAGCAAGGTACGTTATCTGTGACTTGGCTCTTGCCTGGCTAGGACTCTGAATACTTCCACATTCAGAGCGAAATAAACAACAACAGCAAAAAAAACCACCTTGCCAATATTTTTCAACTAACTTTTATTTTTGTTAGAAGAAATTAGACGAGTAAGAATTTTGCTTTACTTCCTTTCCCGCCCACCCCGTTTAATGGTGCTAGAGTTTAATTGAAGGATTTTTGGATGATCTGGTTTTTTCCTTGGTCCACAGGTAGGTGTCACAATTGCTTTGAAAAAAGTCAGCAAGCCATCATCTCTCCCCGAGCTAATATATATAACAAATCTCTAAATCCGGATCACATCTGGTGCCACTGTATAAAAGAAGACCACAGAGCACTATTAAATCTTCAGAATCTAATTATTAAACCAGAATTTTGTTGGACATATGTGAGTTTGCTGGTATAGTATAGTTTCCCCAATGTATGTGTGACTTTTGGAAACAGATCTGTTTTTCTCAGGATATCTTGAATTGATCACTTCATTGCCACGGTATCTATTCGATAGGTGTGATAGGATTTATTGTAAAATTTATTTGTAAAAGATGTATACAGTAGAGATAATAAAGACGTGATTGGAGAACTTGAGTCCTTACAAAGTGGAAACAAATTTGATATTTATTTTTGTAACGATATAAAGCTTCTAGTAATTTATGCAAGTTGTATTGCAATGAAATCTGAACTTTTTGTAAATAAATTTTGCCTGGTTTTTATTTGAAACGTTGATGGTTATACAATCTTTGGTTGTTTAACAAGAATTCTTTACTAATTTATATCTCTAATTGTAAATAAAAACAGACTAGTCTGCAACAACATTGTGTTTTTCATTCATTTCCCTCAAAATACCAATTTATTATTTAGAAAAGGAGGAAATTTGTAATTTCACTAGTAGAGCTAAGATCATAAAATGAGTAAGCAATTTAAATATGTTGCAAATATATACTTTGCATAAATTAATTCCTTCTGGCTTGTTCCGTTATACTTAAGCTTTAAATACACTCATATGTACAAATACGTATTTGTATATATACATGAATATGCGTAGAAAGGGTGATGGGAATATATGCATGTTTCTTATAAACTATTTATATTGAGTGTGAAGTAGCTCTTTATTAATCATTCTTTAAATTCATTATTTCTAGGGTAAAAAATATCAACCATGGCTTACTTCTAAATATTTATTTTCGGCTTCTGGCTAAAATATGTAAGGGGAAAAAAAAAGATTAAAAGTGCAATACCTGTTTGGGTCTTTTTTTTTTAAATGGTTTTCCCTCTTTATATCAGTAAACCATACCTCTACAGTTACATTGGAAGTCCGCTTTGATTTGAATAATAAAATTAGCCAACTCATCATTTTCATTTTTAGCAAAATAATGGGAATTCTCATATAATATAATTTCAGAAAAGAAACGAACAATCATTTATTTTCCCCAAAAGATAAATTGAGTGAATATAACTTACGGTTATAAAACAAGAATAATAGCTTCTTAGATTGCCCTTTAATCAATCATACACTTATTTTTCAAGAGGCTCATCTATTTTATTCCATGATTAATAATGTTCCAGCGTGAGAGCATTATTAGATCCCAGCAGGGGAGATCCTGAATGCTTTTAGCTGCTTTGGAATGGTCAGTTGGGGTTCATTATGGTCTGATATTGAACAATTTATAAAATCTTGTCTAAACATCTGCCAGCTCAGATAGGCTGATGTGTCTGAAGATGGGAAATTGCTGGACCAGTTGATATTGACAAACGGATCTCTCTCCAGTGGCTTTTTGTTCAGTGAAAATTAGTGGCCTCTTGCTCAGGTCTTGTTAGAAAGGGCATTTGAAAGTGATCTTAGATACTTCAGGCATCAGCCTTGGGAAGGTTAACTGGATAAAGAGCCCTGCTAGTCTGGAGTCCGGAAATATGTTGTGATTATATTAAATAGGGGGAAAGGAAGCTGTTTTTCTTGAATGCATATACGCAATTCCCATGATCCATCTTCCCTTGCGCACTCCCCTCACCCCTCTTTGTAATTTACCCCTATAAAGACATCTAACTGACTGGGAAAATGCAGGTGTTTTTCAGCTGAAAGGGCAGAAATTAACAACGTTATCCTGAAATACTCTGGGATCTGTCTAGCTAAATCTAAAGCAATTAAGATCTTTGCAGCTGGAGGCCTAGTCATACTCTTACACTGTTTGTGGAATGATGCTTCTTTCCTCCTGTAACATCCTCTTTTCATTGAGGTAGAATGAAATTGTATCTGCATGTAGTGTGTAGTACAATTAGGCAAACAGCTAAGAAGTAATTAATTTTTTCCCCTCCAGTTTAGCATATGATGTAGATTGCAAATATTTACTATAATCATTCTCGACCGTCTTTACTATGCAGTCCAGGAAGGTTTTATGGAGGGATTTTTATGTCAGGGGAAATACCTGAACTTTCTTTCCCCCACTCTTGCTCCTACTCCATGAGCCCCCACCACCCATGTTATACGTCCCAGGTCTCTGTTGGACACAAAGTGTACATTTCAATTGGTGAAAACCAAAAGCTGTGGCAGAGATTAAAAAAGACTGACGACATTCCTTTGATGTTTATACGCCCAAAGACTTATAAAAGATTTCCATAATTTACCCACCCTTGCTAGTATTTAGACCTGGATTTCTTTCTGGAAAGAAAAGTAGAAAGACTTGGAAAACTCGCTTTCAAGTATTCACTATGTATGTAAAACCCAATGGACTTCTCTCATCCTCTGAGAAATTCACAAACGGTTCATGGATGCAGATGGGCGCACTGAAATGATTTGGCATATGAATTTATTTTTTTAAACAAGAAACTAATGGGCGAGAACTGCATATTCAACATCATTCGAGATTTAGTAATCAAAATTGAAAGCAGAAGGAAAGTGTAGCCTTGCTAGATTGTTGGCAAAAACAATGTGATTATTTCAGTGTAGCAAGAAAGAGGGACGAACGATAAAATACATCACTCTGTGTATGGTTTATTTCATAACGATGCTAATGAGCCCGCTGGGATTAAAATCTCACACCCCTTTCTATATTTACTCCCCACCCCCGCCCCTCGTTTCTCTGCTTATTTCGGAGCGGGAAAGGCAAACCCTTCTCTCTTCGGGGCCAGAGGTTTCATTAGAGCTGATTTATTGAAATTCGGGCTTTAATCTCAGGTGGGATCCCGGAGGAATTGGCGCTGTCGTCAAATAGGAAGAGGGTCGCTTTCCACTTTACACTTCCTGGGCTGCTTTTTTCCTCGCTCCCTGCAAATGTCGACATTTGTTCTCAATAAGAGAGTTATTGTTTCAGGAAAGCTGCTCACCAACTGCCTTTAGGAGCAGAAAAAAAGCGTCGCCCACCTTTGTTTGGCTGGAAGCTGGGGGAAGGGATGGGGACAGAGGTAACACGCAGCTCAGGCCAGCAGCGGACAGACAGACAGACAGACATAGGAATTGCTGCTGCTGCGCACCAGCTCGTGGCTGGAGGGAAACGGGCCCTGCTAAGGGGACAGTTAATGGAAAGCGCCATGGGCATCTGCGTTTCTGTCCCCGCTCCATTGACGTATTTGCCCCCGACTTGCTCAGCCGCATAAAACAGGGGCAGACTGCAGGGAAAAAAAAAACACAAACAAACAAAAAAAAAAAACCAAAAAAAAAAAAACAAACAAAACTTGCCACACAAGAGCGTAAAGGACTGCCCCCACGGATTTTTACCCGCGGAGATGATCTTCAGGTTTTGGGGAGGGACGGAAAGGGGATCTTCCAGGTGAAGAAACATGCGAGGTTGGCTACTGATTCAGCCCCACCTGACGGCAGCCACCTCCTTAACGGGCCATCCATCAGCTCCCGATTCGGCGGGGCCCCCAGCCCCGAGGCGAGGAGCGGGAGTGGCCCGGGACCGGCCAGCCCGGAGCGGAGCGATGCTGCCCGGCCCGAGCCGCTCCCCTCCGTGGTGGCCTCTCCGTGTCCATCCTCACGGGCCGGGGGTGGGGGGGCAAACCAAAAAAAAAAAAGACAACAAACCGAAAACACACGACCCTGTGGCCACTGAAAGTTTCTGGCTCGGTCACGTTACATCTCACTTGAAGGCAGTTCAGACTCAGTGTTCTCTGAGAGACTGTAGCAGGAATGTAATCAATGTAATCAATGTTTTATTGCTTATTAACTTTGGAAACAAACAAACAAACAACCCTCCCCACAAACCCACCCCACCCCCACAAAGCAAACAAATAAAATAAAATCCCCAAAAACCAAACACCACCCCAGACAGAATTTATACAGATGTCTTTTTTTGCCTTCTGCATTCAGACATATCTCGGGTACTTAGGCAAGTTTCCCACGATCCAGGTAGTCGAAAAGAGCCTTTCCATTGTAGGAACTGAATAATGATGGTAAAAAAATACTGTTATTAGAGTAATACTCCACATTAAGTAATGTGATGTACATCCCTTTGTTTTTAATCCAGTAACTAATAACTTAGGTATGTTTCCAG